CCCCCTCCGGACTGTGAAGCCCGTGAGAGCAGGGACCCGGGTCTCAGTCCCCTTTGCACCCCAGCAAGACTATACAGACACTTGTGCTCATAACTATCTGCAGAGGGAACAACGTTAGGACAAGTGCCCTCCACAGGGAGACGTCAAGGGCCAAGGTTCAGGACAGCCCCCAGCTTCCGGTGATGAGAGCCCATCATGGGGCGGCAGGCAAGGGCTGGGGGCCCCCAGAGCGGCTCACACTCCACCCTCAGGAGGGAGAGCCAGGTGGGGGGCTCCCCTCATTTCACCTTCGCTCAGAGTCTCACTCACTGTCGGCGCAGGGAGGTGCTGGATGCATAAATCAGCCAACGTCTGGGGCGGGGGGGTCTCCTCCAGCCCCCACAGCGCCCCCCACCCCCGGCACAGTGCACCTGCGCTGAGCATACTGGAAGCACCAGGGAGGGGCGTGCTTACCTGAAGAGTCCAAGCAGTCCTCGAGGCTGGCAACCTGGAACCTCTGGCCAAGGAGGGCTGGATACGCTTCCAGAAAGGCCACGCTCTTCAGGGGGCTCTGGAAGTGAGCGCCACCTAGGAGCACACAGGCCACTCTGGGGAAAGCCAGGGTACCCGGCCCACAGAGCGTGTCCCGGGGGAGGGACTGTCTCCCCACCCGCCTCAGTGATCACTTGGGAAGTTGGTCAATCACTATGTCATGACACTTTTCATCCTGCTAACAGCAAGTCCATCTTGAGAGAAGAGCTAACTAAAGGGGCCCAAGAACCCTCACCCGTGTGAGTTCTGGGGCCACCCCCCACCCTGGTGGAGCCTCACCTGGGCCCCCAGGAGCCAGCAGGCCCAGTAGGTAGTTGCTGGTCTGCTGCAGGAGAACATTGTTGTCCCCTTCGTATGTGCAGTTTGGGTCGTTATTGTCTCGGAGGTCGCCCAGACGGTTCACTGCAACAAAGCCACGTTTTCATCATCTCGGTGCATACGTGAGCAATACCCGCCACCACCTGGGAAGCTAATCCTGGGCGCAGCGTGACAGAGCGGAAGCACCTCCCAAACTGCTCCACGCCCCCCCTGCACCTCCGCCTCCCGACCAGCTGTGGGCCCCTAACTGCTCTATACCCAGGGGCCCCGCCTTTATAGACACACCAGTAACCACCTAGTAAAGGTGTCGGGAAGGAAAGCGGGCAGCCGCCCCATGAAACCCTCAGCAGTGAGCAGCGAGGCTCAAGGGGCATTCACTGTTACCAGGATCCCCGTCCTCCCGAGGTCACCTGGCAGGACCTCCCTCCCCCGTGGGGCTCAGTGACAGATGCTCAGGGAGCTGACGACCTCAGCGGGCTGCCCTGCCTCCTTCTTCAACTGAACAAACTCTTGTTTACACAAGACATTTCAAATATCTGAAGACAACGCTCATCTTTCTTTTCTTGTCTCTCCTGCCAGTTACGCAACCCAAGTCCTTCGCGCACTTTATAAGGTGTGCTTTCCAGACTCTCGTCGTCCAGGTCTCCTTCCCCTGATGATAATGTTCTCTGAATGTGAGGCTGGGAAAGGCGGACTGCCGCCTCTCGCGCTCACGGACAGGCTCATGGCGGCCTGCACCACCCTGATGGTCTCCCCTGACTCTGCCCATGCCCGTCCCACCACTGACCGTGAGGAGCTGGGAGTGACCTTCGAGAAATAATTTGCAACTGATACCTAAGCCTAGATAAAGGACTTTACGTTTCTCCCAGCTGAGCTCGGACTCTTGGCTTGAGGCCAGCGTTTGTATATGTAATAACACTTGATTCGGCCAATTGTTTTGTTGACTGCAGTGCTGCAGGATTCAATTTCCTTATTCTAAACTATTTACAGCATCTCCGTGACTTAGAATAACAAAAGGAAACTACAA